AGAACAGTTGAAAGCTCCTTGTATTGACAACAGGGAGTGGAATGCTAATCTTCAATTATATTACAACAGTGTTGATGTACTCAATACCTAAAAAGAAAAGAAAAAACAGCAGAGTCTCTCACTAAGATATTTCTTTGAAGGATTTCATCAATTTGCAGGCTATTAAGAATTTTAAAGTTCTATTTTAGTCACTGAAGATCAGGCAACAGATCGTTTCAAAAGGCCTTATAAAAAACTGGTTATCTAGTAGGTTCCCTGAGTAATACACTGAAAACTTAAGTCTATAAAGAGATTAGCAGACATAAAACAGCCTACATCCCCATCCCCAAAATTTCTACCGGTCTAGAATAAAAATGAAAAACAACTGAACCCTCTATATCCAGGTTAATTACTTTCCCTTGGGATACAGAATAAGATATTTGTTTAAAAGCACTAAGTGTTTCTAAATATTTCATTAAGATAGGCTGTATGGAATTAAGACAACCTTCCCACTAGGTTCTGTAACATTCTTTTTTTGAAAAATCACATCTGAGAGTTTTATACACACATAGCATGCCAAAGAAACGCAGAAGAAACAGTTGAAAGTCCCTAAGGTAGTAACCAGATCTATCTTATTTCATACAAATGTGTCTGTTTCTATCCCACCATTTCCAAAAAGATTTCCAATAGCTGAAGCAATTAAAAGCTATACAAGTCAGACAACGAAAAGGAACAATATCTGTTCAAGTGGCAGAAAGAAGATGTCATTAGGGACCTAAAAATTAGAGAATTCCTGCAAGTGACTATTAAATTCAGTTTGGATATGCAGATGTTAAGGTGGGAAGCGGAAGTTAAGGGATTATATGGCTCTCATTTTCTGACAGCAGAAAGCAAAATTCAGCTAGAAAAGTATTTTTCTCCTTTTAATGAGCTTTCATCTTGCTAATTTTTAAAAAAAGAGAAAAATGAATTAGAAAGCCACCTTGACATACCACGTAGCAAAATTCCTCTTCAAAGTTCAGAGCTCACAAAACATATAGTAGTCCTAACAGATTAAACTGAACAGCTTGGAGGACTGTGAGATTTCACAATATATTTAACACAAAAATAATTTCAGTTTTTAGTTCTGCAAGTAAAACATTTAATAAGTCCCTTGGGCCTTTATGGGAAAAGATAAGTAAAGATTATGTGCCTTTGAAAATAACTTTTGCTAGCTTGCTCCTTTTTGAAATACAATTAATTCATTCTTTCTCTTTGACTTCTCAGAGAATATCTGAAAAACTAACCGAAGTAAAAGAAGAGAGAGAAGGAGGGAAAAGATAAATCTTTGGCCACACACTTGCTTATCTTCTTCTTGCATAAGAAATGATAAGGAAAACGCATGGAGACAGATGTGCTCAGAATCTGTGTGCTGGTACTGGTGCTGGGGCTAGGAAACCAACCAGAACCATGGAGGTGCCTGGCAGCAGAGGAAGGACAGATACACATGGGGTGTGGGAGGGCAGGTGACAGTCATGAGATCTACAGACAGCACGACAGCAGTGCCGCTTCCCAACTAGACACCGACTGGTCCACGAAATGTCTACTCAGGTCGGAGCAAGGATCTCATTCTATATGGGAGGCTGAATACTAAGAAATTAACCACCTCAACTAAAGGAGCGAGTTTAAAGAGCAATGTGTGAGTCAGCAAGGAAACAAATAACCAAAGTGTGGTTTAGAAGCAAAGAAAATGCCCAGTACGAAACCCTACAAGCGCCATGAGAGCAAGAAAATGTAGAGCAACGTTGGGGTTGCGTGCACGTGTATACCTTTAAGACAGAAGAGCACAACCTCCGGTTTCCTACGAGATTAAGAAGCTATGTAACAGGGAAGATTCTGGCCTCTGGCTGGGGAAAGTGCACTGACCCTGCCGGTTCTTGATCGTGGCTCAGCACCATCTGGATGTGAGCTCCACTTGTGGCCTCATGCATTCCATCTGGGACAAGGACGGAGTACGGAACTCACTCCACCCTCCTGTGCCACTCTGATAATCCACACGGGCCATGACCCTGACTCCTGTCTACCCGGGCCCTCACAAAGTCGGGCTGCTGGCCTCAGCTTCTTCAGGTGCAGTACACAGAGCGCCTCCAGAAACCGTGAGGGCGGCCAGTCCTCAAGGGCACTGTGGGGGAGGCGGGAAGCCAGCCAGCCAGAGGGGAGTCCGGGAGGACAGAGGGGACGATCGCGGAGTCGGAAAGGTGAAGGAGGGGGACCACAACCCCAATTCTCCACAGAAATCCGCCTTCGCAGTGCTCTCAGACCCATGGCCTCTCTGGTCCGTTTTCACTTGCTCTTTCTGCTGCCCTTCGCTATCCTAATTTGCTTCACTCTTCTTTATTGCTTCTCAGTGATGAACACGTGCTCGTCATTCACACGCATTCCCCGAAAGTATACAATACTTAAAAACACATGGTGCAAACACTCCGAGTGAACAGCCTTCTTATCCGCGTGCTCTCTGCGTGAATGCGTTCATCTTCATCTGTGTTCCGGTCATCTTGAAACACCTCCACGGAACTGAACGGCTTGCTACATACATTCACACGCTGTCTCGCTGCTCTTGCCACCGAGACTGCTCTCTTCATGCTCTCCAATCACCCCTCAGGCGGTCACACAAACCAAAGCTCTCCATGAGTTGGCCACCCAATCTCACCACTCCCTGACCCACATTTTGTATTAAAAATATAAATTTTTAACCGCTTCCTCCACACAAGGGGTACTTCCTACCTTTCTACTCCTAACTATTCGTATTTCTTTCCAAATGCAGCGGCTCAAACACAACTTCTGATGTTGCTCCTTGGTGCTTCCTTGTCTCTTGTCGCCTGCAGCGGGAACCACCCACCTGTGTGCCGGAAACTGTGACTTGCCCCTGTGAGCTCTACAAGGGCCTGACACTTTGCAGACACCACAATAAATGTTTGTTGAATGTTTTATGAAAAAGAAACAAGGTTGGCAAGATCATCAATTTTTTTATTACCCCATTCCACTAATTTTTAGTGAAAAAAATTTAAGGCATGAGAGCAATCACAGCAATTCATCTCTTACGAATAACTCCAACACGTTTCTAGCACTTAACAATAAGAATTGTCTTCATATACATTACCCTCATGATTCTGACAACAACCTTCACTTAAAATAAAAATCTCTAGGTAACCTGGCCTAGAGTTATGTGATAGGGAGTCAACCCTCTTTAGAAGTATAAGAAAAAGAATGTCTAAGCAGCATTCAATTATTTCCTCCATTTTTTTTCCTGTTACTACTTCCCTTCCCTTTCTTAAACCTACTTCTATCTGTCTGTCTGCCTGTCTGTCAATCGACGAGGTCCAAGTTGCCCAAACCTATGATCCTCTTGCCTCAGCCTTCCGGTGTTTAGATTACAGGTGTGTGCCACTATACCCACCTAAGTTCACTCCTTTTGCCCTGTTTTGCTTCAGCTCCCCTATATATATCCAGTGGACCCTCAAGTTATGACTGGCCTGACATATAAACAACTTGGGTTTCAACTGGAACTTTAGTTTTAACTTACAATCAAACACTTGAGTCTTGACCCAAAGGCCGGCCACTTGTGCTTCCAGATAGTCTCATCTACAGATTTAACCCTTAAAGAGTTTTGGAAGGAGCATGACAACATCCTTTCCTGTATGGGGCTAACTGAGAAATACTGAGCCAATGTCTAAGGACACTGAGATCTGCCTGTGTACAAGGAGAAACTTTGAAGGCTGTGCAGAGGAGCCTAAGCCTTCAAATGACCAATCTGAGTTACAGCCAGCCTTCGAGAATGAATTGAGTTCGTATGTCAAGGGTCCCCTGTGTGACATCCTTATATTATGCATTTTAATTCTTACATTATAAGTGACTAAAGAAGAAACAATTTCTATAAGGAATTTTCATACTAAGAAACCATAGCATTTTAGACCACAACAAATCCAACATGCTCCTTAATGAAAAATATCAAAACCTTTACTCGAAGAGCATTCTAAACTAGGCATGGTGGTACATGCCTCTAATCCCAGCACTCAAGAGGCTGAGGAAGGAGGATTAGTGCAAGTTCAAGGCCAGTGAGACCCTGTCAAAAAACCAAACAACAACAACAAAAAACAAAAGAGCCTTCTCACAGTATGATATCATAATTACGCAGAAAAGGGTTAACTCTAGCTTATTTCTAAAGAAAACAGAAATAAGTCTGCATCATATAGGCACGGAAAGTTTTCTGGCTGCCCTCATGTTAAACTATTAAACATTACACAAAGCTAACCCTAAAAATTTCACCCCTACCCTCAACTGCATGCTGCTTATTTCTCATAGAGCTGATTAACTCTCCAAGAACCTGGATTTGGACCTTCTGCCCTGTCCCATATGAAGGCCTGAGGGAAACAAGTCACTGTGTGTGGACGACGAAACCAGGGGTCTGGGCCTCTGCTGCTACACCAACCTTGGGTGATCACTGACTCCAAACACAGGTCCCTTGGGTTTACACAGAGACAGTGGCGTAGCCCCATCCATCTCCTAAAGTCAGGTAATAAAGATGAAAGTATTTATAAACTACTAAGTCATACAAGTATAGAATGTTATTTGACAAGAATAAAACCCACCTTCTTAAAGAAAAAAAGTAAATCAATCTTTGTCAGTTCCTGAAGAGCTCAGGCAATGATCTTTCCCAGGCCACAAGGATTAAAAACATTTTCCCTACCTTTGCAACCCAGAACCCTCTGTACTCTCACGACCCTGGGAACAAGCTACTTGTCAGAAGAGAGTACAGTAACGATAAGTTACGGAGTCATAAACAGAAAACTATTCCATTGCCCCAAACATCAGCAATTTGTGAACTGTTGATCGTGTCTGGCTTTCTTGGTCAGATCTACAGTGAAAGAAAATCCATCTGCACAAATTCTAGAGGATATTTTTATTTATATAGTTTGAGGTCTATCTTATGAGATAAATACAACATCTAAATATTACAAAGTAAATAAAATTACCCACAGAAAATACAATAATTTTTATCAATAGTACAACATATATGTACACATGCGTACACGAACACACACAAAGAACTAATGTGCAGAATGTCTCACAAAATTTATCTACTTTGAAAATTTTCTAATTAGTGAAATTTTTCTTGAAAAAAGTACAAATTGTCTCTGTGAAAGAGTAAATAAGTCACCAAACTCCAAATTACATTCACTATTGATCTAAAAACATACCTTAGACATGACAGTGTTAAATGCTTAATAATGCACAAGAGTTTCCAAAACTGAAAACAGTACATTTTAGTAATTCTGATTATACACTTGGAGAATATAAGAAATAATCAAAGAACAGGGGAATTGTAGAGTTCAATTTGGTTCCGACTCCTGGTTCTGTCCAGAATTACTAGATAGATGACCCGTGGTAAAATTCATCGCTGTGAGCCTTAGTTACACACATTCATAAAAGGGTCCAATATGGTACCATCTGTCTCTGATTGTTCTCGGAACACTAGCATCTCTGAGATAATCAAAGTTGACAGAAATTCAGAATGGCCATGTTTATCAGAGGTCCCAAGACCAGCCCAGGATCAGTGATTTGCTAGGAAGAATCAGCACATACATAATAGCATTTGGTTTATGACTTATTATAGTGAAAGGATACAAAGCAAAGTCAGCAAAGAGAAAAGGCGCGTGGGGCAAACTCCAGTGCAAACCAAGGCCAAGCAAAGGCAGCTGCTCGAGGCAGAGAAGTCATCAGAGCTTTCGGCAATTTCAAAGGGCTGCAGGCAAAAATTGGAGTTCAGAGCTGCCAAGTGTCCTGAAAGAAGGGAGTTGCAGAGATATGACCGCAACATTCAACAGTTTTTCCCAGGCGCATGTGACAAATTCTTAAATTGCATGATACAAGAGGCCAAAAAGTATCATAAACCAGAGAGTAGCAATACAAACAAAACAGAAAATCAATGAGCCACCAAAATATTTTACCAGTCTTGTGGACCTGAAAAGAGGTCATTCATTAACTGTGACCTCTGAAGGGCTGCAGCTTAGAAAGCAGGGAAAGGGAACCAAAGGTGAACTAAGTTTCACACATTTCTCAACCAAGCCCAGACAACTGGCTCAATGCCGCAGAGCAAGCAGCCCTACTCTGTGAGTGCCTACTGGAGACAGCAGAGTCCCCTGGGCAGTAAGCTGTAGACAGCACCCGGCATCTGAACATAGGGCACCTCGCAGAGCAACAAAGAGAGCCAGGAGGAAAATCCAACAGAAGTAGATCCACAGGTGATCCAGAATAGGCGCTGGTAGACATGAACTTTAACATAACGATGTGTCCAAGGAAAGAGAGACACGTGAAGAATTTCACCATCTACTTTCTATTTTATAAAATCATCACCTGGAAAATCTGCAGCCAGAACACCTACAGCTGAAATGAGGAACTCAAAGGCAGGCCTAAAACTATCTTTAGGACAGAGGTAAAAGGAAAATTAATGAAGCAGGTCAGGAGAAGATTTAGGACTGCAGTTAGCAAAGAGAGTAAAAGGGATCAAAAACTTTTTCAAAAGTTCATGTAAATTAACCATGCAGAAGGGAAAACAATGTGGTAGAAGTTATATTTAAAAAGCTGATGTCTGGAGATTTTTCAAAGACAATAAATAAAAGACTAGAGCTAATGATTTAGGAGGGACTACAGATTCCAAGTAGAATAAGTATAAAGAAAACCAACCCTTAGGACTGACAGCACAATTGCTAAAAACCAGTAACAATAAAATCCAAAAGGATCCAGGGAAGACATAATACCTTCTAGGAACCAAAAATTTAAGACTGACAGCTGATAGCTCAGTAAAAACAATGGTAATCCAAACTTAATACAGTGACATGTTTAAAGTGCTAAAGGAAAAATAAGAACCCTTAAAACTTTCTACTGGAAATACAGTGATACTGAAATAATTTCCAAATAAACAAGAAATAATGAAATAATTTGTTACCAGCAAATATGCACAGAAAAAAATATGAAAGGGAGTTATTCAGGTGGAAGAAAAATAATCCCTAGCAAAAACACAGAGGAAAAATAAAGAAAAGTACAAATATTGATCTTTTTTTTCCTCTTTCTTTTCTCTTTCACAGTTCTGGGGATTGAATCCCCAGGGGCCTAGGCATTCTTAGACAAGAGCTCTACCAATGAGCAACTTCTCCAGAACTTTTCATTGTTCTGGAACAGGGGATCTCCCAAAGTTGCTCAGACTGGTCTTAAACTTGTAATCCTCCTGCTGCAGCCTCCTAAGTAGGAGGGATTATGGATATGCGCTACTGCGTACATCTAGAAACGTAAACCTTAACAAATACTGACTGCTAGAGCAGTAGTAAGTGTAATGAGCTTAAAATACATGTAATGAAGTTAAAAAACATGACAACAGTGTAAAAGATGATAAGGTAAAAAGAATGAATGTATCCTAACATCCTAGCACTGCAGTGTAAAAGATGATAAGGTAAAAAGAATGAATGTATCCTAACATCCTAGCACTGCCTACAATGGGGCAAGAGTGATATTACACTATAATAAACCAAAGATTCACATTGTAATCTCTAGGATATCAATAGAAGAATAGTTAAAAATGAAACAAGCTTATAGGATAACAAAAAATGGGATAATTAAGAGTAAATACATCATGAAAAAATAGAAATAAAGTGTTTGTAAACGGGGAGGGGAGGAGGGGGTGAAGGGAGGGCAAGGACAAGGGGAAAAAATGAGAACCAAGACCACCTGCCATGTAAAGGTACAAGATCTCAATAACTAATATAACTGTGCTGTATACCTAAAATGTACCAATAAACTCAATTAAAAAAATAATAAAAAGGCAGGCATCTTACTGAAAAAAAGGAGAGTAAACACATCAATTACAAGACAAAGATTAGATAGATTGGATTATAAAATGTACAATTATATGGCTCACACATTTACATCTTAAATGAAGACATAATAAAACCGAGAATAAAGGGTACAAAAGGATGGATTATGCAAATACTAACCAAAGAAAGGCTGGTAGGGTAGCTATGCTAATATATAACAAAGCAGATTATTTTTGTTTGTTTGTTTTCCCAGTACCAGGAATCAAACTCAGGACCTTGCGCTCACCAAGCAGGCATAGCACTGCTAAATCCCTGGCCCTGACAAAGTACATTCTAAAGCAAGGAGCCTAACTAAAGGAAGAGACATTTCATAATGATAAAGGGGTCAACCCAACAGAACAACATAATTAAAGAGTACCTGAAACTAAAAAGAAAAGTAAGCGCATTCACATTCATAGGGGAAACCTGAAAACCTTTCTTAGTACCTGATAGAACAAGGAGACCAAAAAAAAAAAATCAGTAACAATAAGAAAAATATGAATGACTATCTGGAACATCATACTCAGTAATTATAGATTTACTGAATATATACGCTTCCTTATTCTGATATAATCTATTCCTGTTTTGAAGTCTCAAATAGGCACAAGATAATTTCACTTTTTCATTAGGCTACCAAGAATATAACTGCATAAGATCACCCAATTCTCTGTATACCTAAGTCCTAGACTAACAATCTAACTTGAGGTCTGCCTACGTCTCACATAGAAGGATCACTTCTTTTATGGTGAGCCTCCAAGGTTTCCCTATAAGCAAATCTGGACTTGGATCCTAAAGGATTTGTGTCAGTTGCAAACTTATTTCCTTAGATGATTTCAATCTCCTCTGTGCTTGTGAATACAGTGGTATTTCATGTACTTATCACAAATACAAATGGTTCACTTTTAGTGGGTTTTTTTTTGTTGTTGTTGTTTGTTTGTTTGTTTTGGTACGGGGATCTAACTCAGGACCTTGCGCTTGTGAGGCAGGTGGCGGCACCACCGAGCTAAATCCCCAGCCCAAATGGTTCACTTTTAGGTATAAGTAACTATAACTTCCAATAGACTAGAGGTTGTGACATTATTTGCAATTACTTAGTATGACTTATTTGCACAGAAAATGTTTTAGTAACAATTACAGCTGTAAGAGTTTTTTTCTAGATATTAGCAATCACTGACTCTCAGGATGCAAACCAGCGTCCTACAGCCACTGAAAAAGATCTTTTTTAAAAATTAATTTGATAAGTGGTAAATTGCACATTAAAAAAAGTGTATTAATTCCAGAATAAGCTTTATTAGATAGCTAGGTTTCAGAAACTGCATTAACATTTAGCCACAAATAATCTACATTAATTTTCACAGAAGATAAAGTTCCTAAACAAACACCAGCTTTACACAAAATGCATATAACAGAAGTTAGTATTTCATTGTAGTGTTAATCGTCTACAGCAATTTGCATCTTTGTACTTGTTTTACCAATGCAGCCTCTATTGCAATGCTGGGGACTGGACACCATGATGCTAGCTAACCAGAGTGGTAGTCACTCCCTTCTTAGAAAAATACTCTTCCTTTATCAAAATATATTACATCAGATTTTTTTAAAAAGTATTATCACAAGATACAACTAGTGTAGGTGTACTTGCAAGGCTTTCTCTAGCTTAAGTCCTATTTATTTTGAGTTGCATTAGGAACAATTTCTCATCAGATTTCCTAATGTCCATGCAATATGCACAAAAATAAATACTGATAACATACTACTACATTGATAAACTACAAAAACATGCTCAATGAAAGAAGAAAAACATAGAAGTTCATATGTTGTATGATTTCATTTATATGAAATACTTAGGACAGATGAATCCACTGACAGAGAAAGCAGGGGCTGCAGTGACTGCTTCATGGGCAGGAGTCTCTGGGAGTGACAGAAAGTTCGGGATGAGTTCGGGACAAGACTGACGGCTGCATAACACTGCGAACACAGTAAATACCACTGCACTGTTCCCTTGAAAATGGCTCATTTCCTTCTGTGTGAATTCCACTTCAACTGAGAGGAAAAACTCAGCCCAAATACTGTTTGATTATGTAAGATGGTGATTAGGCTTCTTTTAAACACAGGCATATTTTTTTATTATGATAAAATACTGTGTAAAGAGGGTGGCATTTTGAATCAAACTCTTGAAATTTAGTTGCCACCACAACATCCTAATAAAAAGAATTATTAAATGTTTTATTACTCTTGTTCTCAAATCCTTTAAATGAGGATCACTGTGTATAGTTCAGATGACACATAAAATAAAAACACCTCTTGCTAAATATCACTTTGTGTAATTTGCCAGTGGCTTCAAAAATTCCAAATTGGCCTAAAAGGTTAAGGGTAACCTCCTCACACTGGTATGAAGGGCACGGTCACATAACTGAGCCCAACCTCAAGCTCCAGGCATCTAACCCAGTCAAATGTTTAGATGTTACAGTCGCCTACCAGCTCTCCATGCAATATGTGGCTGGCTGCATGCAAAAGCACCATGACTGGCACATTACACAGGGCTGAAGGGCACAGATGTAGTCCCTGGGTTACATGTGAATGAAAAACTTCTCTTAAGAGATGGCATGGAAAAGTACACACTTTCAGGCCTCTGTTATCCCCAGAGCAAACATCAGATAAGACATAAAACACAAAAAGAAAAAAACAAGTAAGAGAGATGCACATAGACACAAGATACACATCTCCTTAGAGTAAGAAAGAATAGAATTATAAAGTCAAGCCCAGGGTCTACTGAACTCCCAGGCTCAAAGGAGGCAGCAGAAGCAGTATTTCTGAACAACAGTGAGCTTACTGAGTACTCCAGGAGCAGGGAGTAAACCCAGACTCCCAAGGGCAGCAGCTGGAGTGACGCCTTCCATTTAGGAAGGACAGTGAGAATGTAAGGCTGAAGCTTCT